CTTTTGCTGTAGTTGATAAGTCATTCCAAAGGGATGCAGCTGAATAACTGAAGCTCTTTTTCATAAAATTTGTTTCAGGTTTTCCAAGATCATAGTTGTTATTGTTACTTCTTAAATTATATCTGTCATTTATTTTAATTTTGAACATGTTGCAAATTGATGATGGCATTTTTTCGTTTCGTATTCTGTGCATAAAAATCGATTTATTGGTTTTATAGCGTTGGTTTAAAGGTTGCCAGTCTAATTCTTTTAAAACATCCTCAGAACTACCTTCATAAGTTTTACCAGTGATGATTCGGGCCGCTCTGTTTTGTAATTTCTGAAGTCTGTTTTTTAAGTAATCACAACAGTTATCCCAAACCAAGCTACAATAATCAAAATGTGATAGCACAATGGCATTATATATTTTTACTAAGGTTGATTTGGGAACAAACTGTTTTATTCGTCACATCATTCCTATTCCTTTTGAAGCTTTTGTGACAATATTTTGGATTTGATGATTCCATAAAAGATGTTCATCAATAATTACGCCTAAAGCTTTTGATTTGTGAACCTGTTTAATGACTGATTCACCAAGCTCAATTTTAGGGTCCGTTAGTACTAAGTTTGAAATTTGTTGTCTTGAACCAATAATCATGTATTCAGTTTTATCTTTGTTAAGTGTAAGTTTGTTTGCAAGTAACCATTGGTGTATATTTTCTAAGTCCACGTTAATGCGTTCTTGTAGTTCGTCATTTGTTTTGCCATTGGTTGAAACATTTGTGTCATCGGCAAACATGCTTGCTGAAGATGAGGTCAGGCAGTTTGGCAGGTCGTTTATATATAATAAGAAAAGAAGTGGCCCAAGATTAGAACCTTGGGGTATTCCACATTTAACTGTTCTTGTTTTGGACATTGTTTGATCTACCTTACATATTTGAATCCTGCTAGAAAGATAGGACTGGAACCAAGCAAGCGTATGACCTCTTATTCCATAACAATGCATTTTTTTAACAATATATTATGATCAACACAGTCAAACGCTTTCTTGAGATCCAAAAAAATCACTCCATTTAACAAACCCTTATCCATATTCATTAGCCATTGGTTCGTGATGTTAAGTAGAGAAGTTTGTGTAGAGTGATTTTTCCTAAATCCTGCTTGTTGTTCTGCAAGAATGTGATTAGTTTCAAGATAAATTTCTAGTTGCTCTGTAACTCATTTCTCATATATTTTAGCAACTGAGGATAGAACCGAGATTGGTCTATAATTATCGCAATTAGTTTTGCTTCCAGCCTTATGAATTGGAGAAATGATAGCAATCTTGAAGTCTTCAGGAAATATACCAGTGTTTATAGATGCGTTAAAGATTGCTGACAGGGATGGTGCTATTACTTCAGCAGCGTCTCTTAGAAGTTTACCGGGTATTCTATCATGCCCTGCTGATTTAGATGTTTTAATTGTAGAGAGCAACTTATATACCTTAGTTAATGAAACATTTTGTATCGTAGATTGTGTATCGGACCTAGTCACGTATGACTCAAATGTCCTTGAGCTCTGTGGCATGTTATTAACCAAACGAGATGCAACTTCGTTGAAATGTGAATTTAAAGCATCTGCAATTTCATGTTTTTTAGTCAAATTTTGATTATCGTTCTGGATTTCAGATATAACAGTTGTTTTTGACTGTTTGTTTGTAAGTTTATTAATTGTTTTCCACATTTTCTTTGGGTTGTTATCACAGTCATTTAAGGTATTTGTGAAGTAAATTGCTTTTGTATTCTTAATTAATCTATTCAAATCATTTCGTGTGCGTTTATAAGCATCATGGAAATGTTTTGATCCTGTCTTAACTGCTTTTTTCTTTAAAAAGTCTCTTCGACGCATAGTTTGTTTAATATTTTCTGTAATCCATGGCGCGTTCTCGCTTCTAACTTTTTTTGTTCTTTCTGGTGCATGAAAATCTGCAACCGACAGAAATATTGTTTTCCAATTTTCCCACATAATATTTGGATCAAGCATTGTATCACAGAATACTTGATCATATAAGTATGTGGAAAGGTCTGATTTAAAGTTGTTTGAGTTGTAGTGTTTGATATTTCTTGATTTAATCACTTTTGGCTCTTTACGGGGAACGGAAATTTTTCTCTGTATATAGATTAAGCTGTGATCACTTATCCCCAGATGAATGACACCCGAGCCATTTATCAATTCCGGTTTATTGGTGAATGCTAGATCTATTAAGGTTTTACTATTAGCTGTAATTCGCGTTGGCTCACTAATTAATTGTTGAAATTGGAATGTCTGTGCAATTCCAGCAAGCTTGTTTGTCTGAGCGTTAGCGCTGTTACTATCCAAGCGAGACCAATCGCAGTTATAATCTCCAAGTAAAATTATTTCCTTGTTTTCAGAGTCCATTCGAGTAATTAAATCCTTGAATGCATTGAATATTTCAAGTGTTGTATTGGGTGGTTTATACCAACTATTAATTAAGAATGGTTTGGATTTTGGTTTTGAAATTTCAAGTGTAATTGTTTCGAGATTATCGTCAGTTAAATCGTCTCTTATTATGAAGTTTATTGAGGTTCTTATGTATATTGCGACTCCACCACCATGCCTATTCCTGTCTTTTCTCACAATATCATAACCATTAATTTTGATCTCTTGATTTGAGACAGACAGGTCAAGCATGGTTTCGTTAACGCTAATTATTTCAAATTGTTGTTTATAAAGATACAGCCTTAGTTCATCGATATGCTCGATTAAGCTTCGTACATTTAAATGAGCGATCTTGAATCCCTTTAATCGATCAGTATGCTTATTACTATCAGTATTCTTGACCGCGGCTTGATTTCAATTTAAGGATTGATTTTTTAAAAACTGTTTTATGTTTCTTGCCAGTGCAGTTGTTCCTCTTTGGTTTAAGTGCAAACCATAGCTATTTAAATGAGTCTTAGTGATACTTTTATGTGTAATAAATCCCCAATTGCGTTCAGTACATAGATTGTCTAATTTATTATTGTAAATGTTTACCTTATCAGCAAGTTGCAAATCGTCGGTTCTTGTGATGACTTCCGACAGCGTAAGTTCAATACCACTTATTTCTTGCGTTATAGCTTCTCACTTTCTAAAGTTTTGTCACAGCTTTAATTAACGCATCTGGCGATTTCGTTTGCAGGTCATTGGTACCTATGTGCAGGATAATATGCTTTGGTTTCTTTTGGAGCGTCGGTTTAACATAGTGGGTCATTTCGTCAACACCAGCTCCAGGAAAGGTTTTTATTGATATCTTTTGGTCAATTCCTTGCTGAATTCGTCGGGGATTTAAATGTTTTAACATTGAATCCCCTAAGATTACAATGTTAGGTTGCCTTTGTTTTGTCGCTTTGGGTTCGCTTTTATCTTTCCGTTCGTCCAAATTTGATTGACGATCTTGTATGTTTCCTTTGGATTGCTGGCGTCTTTCGATCTTTCGACTATTTTGCCCGCTTCGGCGTTGGTTTGGTTTGTCTCCGCTTGGCTTGTTTCCATGTTTGGCTGATATATCTGTGTTGCTTTCGTTGCCGTCGCTTTCGCAATCACTCAGATCAATGAATTGATTTTGTAATTGCAAATCGTGTCGTTGATGTTTTCCACTGGGATTTTGTTCTAAGGCGTTTCGGCTTTTAGTGCTTTTCTTGTGTCTGTTTACGACATTCCACGATGACAATGCCTCAGTTTTGTGTTGTTCTTGCTCACTTTGTAGAATTTTAATGACGGTGACCAAGCTGTCTTTTTCATTTTCTAAATCTTTGACCTTTGTTCTCAAGTCCGATGTAATACATTTGTAGTTGTTAATGAAGTTTAATATGTTGAAATAACTGGCATCCAAACCGCAGTTTGAAAAAACCCCAAGAAACCAGAAAACAAAACACACAGCAGACAGGTTTTTGTGGCATATATTATGGGTAAGGAAGTGCTCGAACGGTCTAGAGGCTCTCGCTAACCTACGTTTTACCTAGAGGAACAGGCGGACCTCTAGATTGCAGAGGGAGTGACGCGGCTCTGTGCATGTTGTTCAGCGACATATGAGTCCTGATGGTCTGGGGACCACCATTGGTATACTGAGACAGTATGGGTACTCAAGACCTGACAGAGCATGCAAAACTGTAGGTTTTTCATAGAGGAACAGGTGAACCTCTAGATAACAGGGGAACAGGCGAACCCCCGTTCAGGTCAGTCAGCTCGTTGATGTTGAGTACTAGTTGAACTGGTGAACAACTGATGGTAACTCAACTGAAATGACTTACCCATCGAGTCTCTAGGTCAGGTCATTAGGTCGCACTGCGACCTGAATGACCTGTAAAAATACACTTCACGTGGCGAAGTGTTGTCCAAAAGGACAGCACTTCCCTGCCATTAATTGACGATCTGTGCGAAGTACAGATTGTTATTTCAGCCACGGGAAGCCGAGTCGAATTAAGCATTATGCATATTTATTAATATGCAGAGCAGAGGAGCGTTCGCATAGGAGCAGTAAATGATGGAGGAGCAACTGGATAAAAGAGGGGGAGGGTCTGGAAACAATGGGGAGTAGTAAGTAAACTGTGTAAAACAATTTTGGGTTTCTGAGCCCATTAGTTTGTTAGCACACTACAGGGTGTGTTTGGGCTTGTCGAGTGCTACTGGCTCTCTTGCGGAAAAAACTGGTCGAGTTTTCAATGTGTTCTGCCACATTTGTGCTGTGTTTAAATAGTGTTTTGGCCGAAAAATATAGAAAAGTAAAGAAAAGAAACAGGAAACGACCCTCGTATGTAATGGTGGTTTGTACCCCATTTCATCGATAGCTGTCCATCGTTTAATACTCCACGAGCACAAATAAAATAACCCGTCTACGGACGAGGATGACGAGGTCAAAAAGGCCTGAGGTGTACTAGAGAATGCTGTTTACTGGATGCTGACACTTATGCTAAGGCTGGATAATCAGGGAGGCCAGGAAAAACCTGCAGTACAGGAAACCTGGGTAGGGCCAAGACCACCAGCAGCTCCCCACATAGCTCTATTTTTACAAGTTTAAGAAGAATCAGCATCATGGTAAACAACACCATACCTAAGACTGCAAAATATAAAGAGTCGGGGCAAGGGTTATATTTGTAGTAGTGTTTATACCCTCTGCAGGTTTTCAAATTGGCTTGCATTTTGAACTAGCTGTTGTTAGTTTAGACAGAGGCTTTTTCTTGAGCCAGTATAAAGTGTTTATAACCATTTTTCCTGCAAGTATCCAAGTTAGGCTATATTTTGAATTCGCCATTGTTTAAACTGGATTATACGGAGCTTCTGAGCGTTATATATAAAACTAGGTAAACCTCAGTATAAACCTAAAACCTCGTCCTCGCAATTTATGCAGGAACATTTACAATACATATAGATAGTTCATAGGGCAGAATGTTTTACAGTTCATATGCAAGCTGAAAACGGTGAGGCAGCAATCCAGGGTTAAACGTCGGTATAGATAGCACTTGTGAACATCACCAGATTGACCAGAACACATCCAAGTTTGTTGCTCGCCTTAAAAACAAAATGAAAGACGCAAGAGAAAAACGGGTGCTCTACAGTGAGAATTTTGTGGATCTAGGTGGTTAATTTATAGGTGAAAAGATAACTGGATATGACATACAGGTAGACGCCATGTGTACAATATGTGTATTGTACTGGAACGTGTAGTATATTGCGTAAAGTAAACTATTGCGCAAATTCGTTATATGACACGCAATAAGTGCGGGATTTTCCCAGGCAAGAGATTAATTAATGGAAAATAACTTTAATTAATCTTATTAAATAGCTCGTGATGTGACGCAGTTTTTCGAGTTATCCTAAGTAAATACTGCTAGCCATAATGTGTACAATTGGGTAAATTAACGAAAGATAAAATAAAGCCGTGTGCAAGCCACTGTTTGTACAGTTAGTGTAACAAAATATACATCTGCACAAAGAAAACATTTAACGTGCTACAGTATAACCTCTTTAGTTGAGATCATTTCTTCGAGGTCAATTTAAGTATATCATGAACATCTCATTTAACTAGGACAAACCGTACGTCCTTATAACTAGGATAAACCATCCTTATAACTAGGTTAAACCGTCCTTATAACTAGGATAAACCGTCCTTTTATATAACAAGGATAATACAATGTTCGTACGACTGGCATAAATTGATACAAAGTAGGCTATCAATAGCAGCTAGAAATGTGTTAAGACTTATGCACAGGAAATAGCCTCATGGGACCGAGGCTATTTTATATACCAGAGAGTGTATACAATTAGTACGAGTAGAAAGTAGCAGTACAAGAAGGCTGTAATACAGCTGTTATGACATACAAGGAAAACCCGTCATGCTACTGAGTGAAACTGTTTTGTTCGAGTCAATGCGCCAAAATAGTTCCCGCCTGAGCGAATAGTGGTGCGACACGAGTTCGAAGACAAGCAAGGCGAATGAATGGAGAGTTGTATAATGTATCCAACCACATCTATTGATCTACATATGCAGTTAAATTACGTGTTGTTTGTATGGTATTATTCGACGTAGCAAAAGCATGCAACTAGAGATAATATAAGATAGCACGTAACCTGGCGTAAGCGCGAATGCATAGCCTACGAATACTGTACAATACAAAATGCGACTCATGCATGACACAGGACCAGATCGAGTAACGTATGGTTACAATGCGTTACATAGTACTAATGTAGCCTAACAGCAGTAAATTCAAGAGCGTTATATTAGGGAAGTAAATAAACAATATGGAACGAACTCACTCCGTTTGAGGTCCCAGAACGTGGATTACAAGCTGCGACAATATTCTGGTTCTGGAACACCGCATGCATGGCCGGCATGGGATCTTGTGCATCTCAGGATAACTGTGAGTCTGTACCGTCCTTGTTCTTCTGATCTTGCGCATTACTTTTGCCATTTGTTCGAAGATTGGCGGAATCGGACAGCAAAACGGTTCTCTTTACTTTGTCTTTTTTTTTTTTTTTTGTATACCAGGTTTTGGTAGCTTACGCTCTGGTTAGAATATTGCGAATGAGGCGTGAAGCATATAGCCTGTAACTAAATGTCTTTCACTAAGAATGGGGCCATTGTATTGTTGCGACGGATATATTTAAGAAGAGTTGATTGATTAAACCCAAGTGCATGACGTGTTCACGTGCTGTTGCCAAGGTTCAATCTCTTTTGGCAGCATGATTAGAAAGTAATGCCTTGTTTTCCAAGTGCAGTAGTTTTGATGACAGATTGGCATTTCCATAAGGCAAATAGAGTCTTCTTTGACATATTACTTCATTAACCACAATTTATTGTGTTGCATAAATTGCATATTTAATCTGCTGTTTAAGTAAAGCATTTTCATCTTTAAGACTAGCGTTCTCTTTAACGAGAAATCCCTTATTAAAAACCGTAGATATTGATTCGTCACGAGACTTAATGATTTCGTTCTCGTCTCTTGCGAGGTTCCTGATATCTAATTCTGATCTTATCTCCAGAGCTTCGCTTGCAAGTTCTGTGTATTCAGCTTCTAGGTTCCCTCGCGCAATTTTCTCGACTTGTAATTCTAGTCTAGTCTCGTGCACTTCGCTTGCGAGATTATTTATCCTACTTTCCAACTTCGCCTCAAGGCTTCTTACGGTATTAAGCAATGATTCATACTCGTTTAACTGACCACTGGAAATTTGATTCTCGCTTTCGTTACTTGCTACTTCCTCATCAAAGTTGATTGATATTTCGCCATTACCAGAGACACAGGCAGCATTTGTGTCTTCGGATTCTAACTGTAGCTGTTTGTTGAGATCAATAAGTTGAGTCTTAAACTCATCACACAACTTTCCATTAATTGTAAGTGAGTTACTATCTGAATACCATCTTACAACAACTTCATTCAGCTCAAGCAACTTACAATAACCGCCGGGAGACGACCATTTTGTTTCTTTGCCGGTCAATTCGTTCATCAAATTTTTGAGACCTTCAAAAGGGCCTATCCATTTGAATTTGTTCTTGTCATTTACAACAAGATACTTTGACGTACCATTTGTGTGTTTTGCTTGATCTACAACATTAGTTGAGGTCTTATCAGCCAATTCAAAATCTATATTATCGGAGCTCAAGAGTGCATGACCTTCGTCCATGACTAGCTAGCTAACTGTATTACCAAATATACACCCTTTCGATAATTACACATACTTTTTGGTCTTGGAACCTCGCTCCCATTGGTAAATTACACAAGGTGATTAGCGTAATTATTGAAAGGCTGTAGTAGCTAGCCTGCGTAACGTGTCTTATGAAACAAAACCATTGGGTAATGGTGATTCCCCGTATTTTCGCATTTTTTTATCGAGTCCTGACTCGAGTCCTGGCTCAAGTCCTGGCTCGAATCCTGGCTCGAATCCTGACTCGAGCAATAGTATATCTCAGTTTGATTATCATAGCGTTAGATAAAAGCTTTGAAAATTCAATTGAAAACATTTTAAACCACCCGTATTTGTATAGAATATATGTTAGTTGCATTAACATTGAACTTCTTTCTGTTTGAACTTAAATTTGTACTTGTTTTGCGTTTGACAAGGCTGTCAAGCTCGCGACGATTGGCTTTTATACCTCAGTCAAGCATGACTACAGATTTAGCGTGTCAAATGTCTTCTTGTTTGTGTCAAGATTATAATATTATATTGCTGTTCAAACGAGATATTCTATACACTGGAAACGTAGAGTACATTTTACTTTGTCTTTGTCTCAAGCAAAGCATTTGAAAAATTAAAAATAAATATTTCTACTGGCCGTATTCAAAAGAAATTTTCCACACGAAAGCGCTTGAATACAAGGAGTATTTTACTTCTTTGACTGGTGGCGAATTCCGAAGAGTTCAAGAAATATTCAAGTTTTTCTCGATACGTAATACAGAAAGTTTGGCCAAGCGGTGAGTAAAATATACGATTGTTTTGCTTTGTGTAATATTAAATGTTAAAAAATATTACTTTTGACCATCCACAAACATGCAGGCACTAGTCAATGAGGTCAATCAATCATGCATTAAATAATGATTTAATTTTCAAAACGGCGTTTCTTGTTTAGCTTAAAAATCACCTTTTGTTTCGATGTTTACACTTTGTCCCACGTTGTCCCACTTTGCGATGCAAATCGTACAGACTGCCGAGGCTTCGCGCCTTCCCTCGCCTTTCCCTTTGCCGCCTGCGCTCCTTCGCCCAGCGGCTACGCTCGTGTTCCAAGATCCGCCATGTAAAGTGTAGTGAAATGTATCTCATCGTAATATTAAATCCTAAGAAAACTAAAGCCTCTGCGGAGGAGAGAGGCATTAGACATGGTTCAATTAACCACTAAACAGAGCATTCGTAATCAAAACGTTTTACGAAACAAGTACCTTGCAGCAGACTCGCGGTGCTTCTGGATTGATTAACTTTGCATAATTAATTATTTTCAATTCTCAACGGTGGAAGAATGTGATTTCGACCGAAAATTTTTATTTGACGAGTATGTGGCATTTCTTATTGTTACGGTTTAAGAAATATATCATAGAAAAGCTAAGTAACAGCTCTTTCGTCCTATGTAAAAATTGAATTGTTTAGTTAAGTTCAGTGATGCACAACAGCCTGTTGAAATTCCATAGCGTTTTTTTTTAGACACCCAGTATGAAAGAAATGTACACACTGCATACCTTGTAGTAATTTTTCAAACTTCGCAACAAGTGCTCTAAATTGTGAATTCGCAGGTTTATATCACCAAATACATTTGAGTGAACGAACGGCAAGCCAAAAAACGTTGGGTCTCTATAATTTAAACAAATAATCAAAAATGATAAACCAAAGAGGCTTGATTGCCAATTTATTTACTTTATTTGAAATCGACTTTCGCGTGCGAATGCAAAACAAAGGGACCACAGCTTCGGTTTATTTCGTCAAAACAAAGACACAGTTGGCATGCTGTTCTAGTTTACAAACCGTTTCAGATTATACTGTAGACAATACAAAGTCTATCCCAAATTAGAATTAAGTCTTTTAGCTGCTTGAACAAGCTACGAAATGACACGGATCTTTAAAACGCAAAGCTACTTTTAACCACTTACACTTCTGTCATTATTTGGTTCAAAGCGTAGCCATCGACCAAGTCTGTTAGGTCAGCAAGCGGTGTAGCGTCAAATGTTTGTACCTAAACGTAAATAAAACATCACTCATGCTATCCTATTACTTCGATAGAAAGCCTCGCTTCCGGAAAGAAAGCGATATGAAAAAGTATAAATATAAAACAATAAATTCGCAAACAGGACGTGCATGGCCATAGACTGAAGAGATTTGACTTAATACTCACCCACAAAACAAGTGCAGCCTTAAGCACTTGAGTGCTACGATCTGCCTCCATATTAGAATATTTCTTGTCGATACTTAATTCATCAACTATCAAGTGGAATAAGGGCACGCGAAGGCAAACTATTTGGTTTCGAGCAATATCACAGGAAAGTGACGTCAGAGATCAAAGTTATCCAATCCTTTGCCAGTATTCTTCGGCTGAAACGTCAATTACATTTAGAATCGTCCAATGAGATGACCGCTCCTAGCATAAGAAGTTTTTTGGAGGCGTGGCGTATAATCGAAAATCTTAGTTAATTATATGTCAACCTATGAGAACATGCTAACTTAACCTGACGTTCAGGCCCTAATTGTAAATAGGGCCTGACACAAAACCTGTCTAGACCGCATCTTCGTCCCCAGGGCCTTTTGAGGAAGGAGGCGAAGGGCACGCTCACATGTTATTTTTAGACACAGCATGCAATATGATTGACAAGTGTTATAGATTTCGTTCCACAAAAATTTATATTCTCATGAACATGTCCGCAGAGTTTGCATTTTGCGTTTTAATTAAACTTAAAAATTCAAGGTACCTCTATATAATTAAGAGTCAGTTTCTCTATTTAACCGAACAGCAAACAAAGATTCAATTAGTCAGTTGTGTGTAGTCTGTGTACAGCTTGACTGCCAAGCTTTCTCAAGGTCTCAACTTGCTGGACGCGGATATCCGAAATTTAAAATAAGGCGGAGAATTTTAAATTTCGGATCTTTCTCGGTCGCCCTTCGGAGTATCATCGTGTAATATAAATTAATGTCAAAGATGAACATAAATTATTGCGCCTGCGATAAGCTAATAATATATACCGCATTCAAAATGGCGCCCGATGAAAATTGAAAACATTTACATGTAATTAAAAGGTTAGTATAAATTTACACAAATATTTCTGGCGTGCTCCCTTGAACCAATCAAAATCTTAGGGCCTGAACTTCAGGTTAAATCTACAGGCACGATGATTTATATTTGAAGTATTCAAGCGCCAACAGCGGTATATATTTATTAGTCTTTATTATATAGTTTTCTTTGTTTTTCTTCATTTTAAATACTACTACTACTGTATTTCCGGACCGCTCGGCCCCTCCAGGTAATTAAAATTTATACCGATACGTGCAAAAAATTACCAGAACACGCCCGCCTCACAAAATGAACCAATAGACAGCTTAAGATCTACGACGTCAGCTAGGACGTCAGGGCTAAGCAGAGGACTGGGACTAGGATGTCGTCCTAAATAAGCAGATTGCTAAATATCTACGACGTCAAATATTTAGGGCGACAAGCGGAATAAAATTGGTAATAGTTTTTTTAATTGTGCATGTGTCTCTCTCAATTTGCTCGTCGTCCACCAAACGTCTACAACCTCACAACAAGAGTTTTACCGTCGTGGATACAAGAGCATAACAAACGGTATTGAATTCATGTGTCTCTTTAAAATTCATTCTCAAAAGAATGTAAATATTTTATATTTATAGTTTAAATGTCGACGTCGTGAATCTTAAGAGGTAGTTTCCCAGCGGGCAAAATGACGTTTATCCAACGTTGAATCAACGTTGGAAATGACCTTCCAGACGTTGGATAGACGTTGAAAAAGGGTTGACTATGCAAATTGGTTCAACGTTACTGTATCGACGTTGAAACAACGTTGAAATTAGGTTGCCAATCTCGTCAACCATAATTCAACGTTGAATCCACGTTAAAACAAGAGATTGGTTCACAAATCGACATCGTACATTTAACCAACCATGAATGAACGTTAATTCAACGTCTGTTGGCTGCTGTTGAACCAATGTTTGTAAAACAACGTCAGAACAACGTAGATAGGCACCTTAAGCAAACAGGACGGCAACGCGACGACGACAGCTATTCACACAATGATATTCCTGATTTCGTACAAACGAAATGAATAATTAAAAGTCCCACGGGAGTTAGAGACGTTTTGTTAGGGCTTTTTACAACGGCAAACCAGCAAACATGTCAAAACGCGACAAGTGAAACTACAAATTTGCTCAGCAGAAGCGTTTTTAACCATAAAGCCTAATTTGTTTTAATCTCTTTAAACTGAACTCAATTCATGTATACATGCAGTGAGTAAATACACAACAACTCTTCGTCGAAATAATTTATTTGAAGAAGTTTGTTTTGGCTGTTGTCGTCGCGTTGCCGTCGTACATGCTTAAGGTCCCTATTATTAGGGTACGTTGTCGACGTCGCAACCTTTTTTCTACCAAATTTCAACGTTGAAACAACGTCGTGTGCTCGGTGGGTTATTTATTTAGGACGACGTCCTAGTCCCAGTCCTCTGCTTAGCCCTGACGTCCCAGCCGTAACCTCATTAATATGCAGAAATGCGCAATAGGCAAACTAAGAGGCCTAGGGACTAGGTTGCTGACGTCCTAGCTGACGTCGACGTCGTAGATCTTAAGCTATCTAATTTCATTGCTCGACATATACAAGTGATCTATGTTCACGACTCACAACCGCTAATTACAGACGTCTGGTATTTCTATAATTATATTGGAACGAAACATTATTTCTTTTTTTAGAGAAATATTTTCTTGTTGTATTTGCTTTTTGGTCACGCGGGACCCACGCAAAGTGATACACGCGGGAGATTGCAATAAAAATTGCAGCGTACGATCAGGAATAAAAGGGCGGCCACTTATAGGGAGGTTCAGATATTAGCTTTGGTTAGCTCAGTGGCGCAATTTGATTGGTAAATCGGATAGATTTTAATGCCTCTGATTGGTTAATGGTAACGGTATCGAAGGTCAAAAAGTTATAAAAATTTAATTACAGTGTGTCAACTTACAAACTAGATATTATGAATTATGATGATTTTCAAACAGCTCAAAGGCAAAACTAATTTATAACTGGGCAAGAAAAGATCATATCATGCAATATCATGATAATAAACTCCCTCTCGTATACAATTACTCTCTAGATAATATGATAAAGAGACATTTAGTTTCCATCAATCAATGCAACAAGCAATGTTTCGTATTCACTACGACATTTTTTCTTCACCATGTCCGGTAGCGACATGGAAGCGAGTGCTTAGTAATATTGCTTCACTTCCAGGAGGTCGATCTATTTGAAAACAACAAACAGACGTTTCAAAATGAAAAAAACTTATGTGCCATTGTAGGTAGTGGCAATAATAAGAAAGCTGCGGATTGGTAGGGATCACAACTACCTGCAAAATACAAGGAGAACTTCGGCGTTCCTTAGAGGCCGATTACATGGACGATTTCAACCCCGGGGTTGAAACGCAATGCATTCCCGGCATTGATTCCTGGAAGTGAAAAAAGCGGCTCCATAGCCTCCATCTTGTTTTCTTGTAATAAATAGTCACTACCACGCACGCTCGAATAACTCATGAATAATTTCAGCCCTGGGAAACATGACAAAATTTTCAACCCAGGGCCGAGTTCAATCCCTCCGTGGTTGAAATTTAAACCCTGCCAGAACAGCTGGGCATTCTGTTGTCGCTGTCTGAATATTGCGGGCGCATTTCTTTAGAGTATTAATAATCGCCTGGTGATTGGATTGGCATCTATATAAATTCTTTAGGGACTCGAGAAATTTGTGTTCCTGGTCAGTGTAATATTACTAAATGGTGGTTATAACTTGTGATACAACAGTAACAACATTCATCATTGCTCATCAGCAAAACACCTTATTCATCAGTTACATGCCTTTTTAGCTTTTAATTTTGAAAAACTAACTATTACTACGCATTTCACTGATATGTGCATTCCGCATTTTTTTCTCGCTTCCGAACGGCGTTCGACGCAGGCTTGGTTACAAAAATTGGCGCCTTTAAAGTTTTCATCAATACTTCTGTCATTCAAGACAAGACATTGACTATTTATATTGATTTATATTAACTTTGGAAAATTCAAACTTAAAAAAGCGCCAAATTTTGTAACCAGGCCTGCGTCGAACGCCGTTCGGAAGCGAAAAAAAGAAGCGGAGTGCACATATCAGTGAAATGCGTAGTAATGAAAAATCACGGTGGCCACAATCAGCCGGCGCACAAGTTGACCTCACTTGGCGCGCGGCAACACCATCTCAGATTATCTTCGGCGTGAGGCTTACACAGAATGCACCCTGGATGTGGAGATATGACTATCACGATAGAATTAATTACGCCAAGTAACACGTCGTACACGTCAGGTAGCTGCTGAAATATTTTAATATTTGCTATAATAAGCCCATAACCTGTCGGCAAAACAACCAAAACATCTAGTTCACCATTTTACATTATGGCCGACATACATTTGAATGTCTCGTCTTTTAACGAATATCCAAGCCCTCTTTTCGCTAGAACAACTTTCATAGCTCTTTCAGTATTTGCCATTGAATATAATTTAATAGTAGTACGATTTAAAGAACCTTTAAACGTATAAAAACCCATTTTGTATACTATCATATTCTGATGATAATCTTCGTTTAAAACAATATCGATTGTGAGGGTGTGCCCGCGCGAATTTAGTAAGCGGAATAAACAAAGCAATAAAAGCGCATGCTCCATTTATCTCATTTTGGATAAAAAAATTCGATTTCTTCAGAGTCATGCCACTACCTAACCCGCGAACAGGCCTACTCTGGGAACGAGATACATAACCCGCGAACAGGCATACTCTGGGACACAAAATAGAAATAGGGCTCTGGGACGAGATTGGTGACTACCATCAACCCATTCTCTGGCCAAATCCATAACCGGATACGATAAAAACATGGTATCCGGTTAAACACTGCGCATCCTCAACGTCAAACGCGGATAAACACTTCGGTTTTCTTGTTTGTTTCGTTTTGAAAGTTTTTCTCCAGGAAAACCCCACAAAAGCGGTAGGTTTCGCTAATTTTATTTATTTAAATCAATTAGTAGGTAAGACGTGATGTTCTCAATGCATGTTGATAAAATTTAGCAGTATATATTTCCCTCTTAAACGTTGTCAAAGCAGTAATGGATACGGATACGAAGACGAGAGATTGTCTCACTATTTATATTCGATTTTAAGTCGCTGTTGTACAGATTTTTAGATCGGAGTTTTTGTATTTTATTAAAAGTCAACAGTCATACATAAGACATACTATACTGCAAATCATTTGAAAATTGTAAAAAATCGGTTTCTAGGAAGAAAATAGTCATTACAATTAACTTCATATTCTGACTGGCTTTAATATTTTCTCAGATGGCACGTCAGCTTTGAAAATGTAACACAGATTTGTTTGATTAACATCACTGATTTGGAAATACGACGGGCATCTGCCATAAAATATGCTGATTTTTTGCTATGAGAACATCACGTCTCAACCTATTAATTTCAATCAACTAATTGATATAAATAAATAAAATTAGCGACATCTACCGCTTTTGTGGGCGATAAACAATCTTCCTAACTGCTTCGTACTGCTGTTCTTTCAACTTTAATAACGTCTTTTCTCCCAATTTTATCCAAAACGAAACCAACGCTTCATGGAGCGCTTGATTTTTATTCATATTTTATACAATAAACCATATATTATATATATATATATATATATATATTATATATTATATATATTGTTACATTTTTTTTTTGTCGATATGTTTAGTGACCATAACTTGCTACTTTTTAACTTTCATGTTCATCCCAAATTATCTCCTCGAACATCTCGATCAGTGTTTGATTACCATCAAGCAGACTGGGAAAACCTCCGCAAAGACCTTAATATCGGTCTCTCGTCTATGACTATTTCACCAGAGAATGCCGACTGTGATCCAAGTGCTGTTGTAGATATTAATATGGTCTGGCGAGGCTGGAGAGACAAGCTGATGGATGTAGCCGTGCAACATATTCCAACCAAAGTGGTGAAAAGACGTAACACTCCTCCTTGGCTCGACAGCGAAACCTGTCACCTTTTTAAAAAGAAAGAAACGGCGCGAAGAAAAGCAAAAAGAACATCTAAGCCTAACCATTTAGAACACTTCCGAAACCTTCGTCGCTCGTTTAAAACGCTCGTAGCACGGAAGCGAAAGAAGTTTTTCCAGTGATTGCCAGATCTGATGATCTCCAACACGAAGAAGTTTTGGTCGGTGTTTAAGTCCGTTTCACGCACTTCTAATGTTCCCAGTAAAATGGTGTGGTCTCAGGGCGAACACAGCGTCACAGCTGAAGAACCTGATGATATTGCCAACCTCTTGAACGAATATTTCCACTCCACGTTCAAACCTTCATTATCCGAAGAAGAATATGAAGATCATCCATCAATCACCACCATACCTCTCAGTGAAACGTTGAGTGACATACACATCACCCCTGACGAAGTAAAGAATATCCTTCTTTCTCTGGACGACAATAAAGCAACTGGTCCAGACAACATTCCCGCAAAACTGTTAAGATGTTCTGCTCCCCAAATATGTTCATCTCTTTGTGATCTCTTCAATCTTAGTCTAAAATGTGGGAAAATCCCTGCAGCGTGGAAAATTTCTAACGTGGTACCAATTCCAAAGAAAGGACTATTAAAAGTAGTTTCTAATTACCGTCCAATTTCCTTACTTTCTATCGTCTCCAAAGTTTTCGAGCGTTGTGTGTACAATAGACTGATAGCTCACGTTTCCATCAACCTTCATCATCTCCAATTCGGCTTTCTCAGAGGCAAATCAACAACGGCCCAACTTTTACAAGTACTACAAGAGATCGGTGAAAAGCTCGACAAGAGAGTCCAAACCGACATCATCTACCTTGACTTTGCGAAGGCTTTTGATAGAGTTGATCATCGTTTACTTGTAAGAAAGTTAAAGAAATTCGGGATTGGTGGGACTTTGTTGAAATGGTTTGAAGACTACTTAACCAATCGTCACCAAAGAGTAACTGTCCTTGGCAAAACTTCACATTCTCTCCCAGCACTTTCTGGCGTGCCGCAAGGTTCAATACTTGGTCCTTTACTGTTTGTTATTTACGTGAACGATCTTCCGCAGGAAACATCTACATCGTCTATTGCTTTGTATGCTGATGATACTAAATGCTATCGTCCAGTTAGGTCACATAAGGATGAACAATATCTTCAAAAAGACCTTGATGGTATTAACAATTGGTGTGAATTGTGGCGGATGGATCTGAATCAATCGAAATGTGAAGTTCTTTCGGTGACCAGAAATCTGAAGCTAGTGCCGCCGAGCTACCACCTTAAGTACGACACTCCCATCAAGAGAACCAATGCCCAGAAAGATCTTGGAGTGATCATCACATCCGATTTGAAATGGAACCAGCACGTGTCCATGGTATGTGCCAAAGCAAACAAAATGCTCGGCTTCATTAAAAGATCATCAATGGACATTCGCAACGAGAAAACCCGCCTTGCGCTTTACAAGACAATGGTGCGAAGCCAGATGGCATATTGCACGCAAATTTGGTCACCACAGTCCGTATCACTTATCCTTCAAGTAGAAAACGTCCAACGTCGCGCCACCAGATACATTTTATCACTGCCATTCTTGTCAGGAGTATCATACAAAGATAGACTTGTCAAAAGTGGTTTACTACCACTAACATACTGGCATGAATTCCTGGATATGGTCTACCTTTACAAAGCGTTAGTTCTATCTAATGACCATAATATCCATGTAAAGACAACAGATTGGTTGACGAGAGAAAATGATGGAACAGCAAAAATTATATTACAAGTTCCTAGAGTAAACACTTCAACATTTCAGAACAGTTATTACTGCAGATCACCCAGGACTTTTAACTGCTTACCATCACACTTACGGCAGTCAAATTTCTCAGTCAGTCAATTTAAATGCGGCCTATTTAAATATTACCAAAAGCTTGTTGAAGAGGTCTACGACATTGATGTTCCACAAACGTTTAAAACAGTGTGTGTAAAGTGTCATTTCTGTCGTCCCTTGTCCAGTCTTTCTGTCAAACTGTGTTGTCATTAGTTGCTGTTAACCCAGTGGAAATATCACTTTTTAGTGAGCATGTGAAATTTAAATTAAATTCCTTTTCTTTTTCGATCCACATGATTAGAATTGCCCAGGACCACATTAAATCTAACGTCTCAGTGATTAGCGATTTTGAAGCGATATATCCACTGTGTTAACCTATATTTCAGTATTGCATTAGCAGGTTACCCGTAAAGGAGCAACTAGCTCTGTGGTTAAACCGGTCATGTGACAAAGATTGTAAAATAAAATATTTAGTTGTGGCCAATCAGAAGCCAGTTTGATATGGATTTGGCCAGAGCCCCTCGTCGGGCTCGGTCGAACGGGCAATTGATAAAACTAGAATAGTGAAGCGAATAGTGCGAATAGTCGACGAATAGTACGAATAGTCCGCGAATAGGCGACGAATAGTACGAATAGTCGACGAATAGTGCAATAGAGACTTTGCAAGGTTTTGCAGCAGTGCTGTAGAACTAAATTTACCGGGGGGGGGGGCTCTGCTGCAGAGTTGTAGGTAGACTCAAGTCGTGCGACTTGGACTCGAGTCGGACTCGAGTCGCAATTTTTGTGACTTGTGACTTGACTTGTTAAAGAGACTGATGACTTGTGACTTGACTTGGACTTGGACAAAATGACTTGTGACTTGACTTGGACTTAAGAAATGACTTGTTACCAACGCAAGTCAAACTTAGATATCTAGTGAAAATCAAGTTTTCCAAAACCTTTGTGTTGATCGTTCGATCGTCGTGTTGTACAATTTGGGCAACGACCTTAGTACATATCAATGGCATCGACAGAATTTGTGCCGTCGTATTTTCTGACAAACCGGGTTTTTTTCGCGATTTTGTGGTAAAATTTCTGACATAAAATAGCGACGCCATATTTACATATTTTGCCGTTTTGCGTGGGAAAACATGGCCACATGTGGCGATAAAATGACTTGGGACTTGACTTGAATTGACTTACCACTCGGAATGACTTGTGACTTGACTTGGAATTAGACAAAATGACTTGTGACTTGACTTGAACTCAGACCAAATGACTTGTGACTTGACTTGGACTTGCAGGAAATGACTTGTGACTTGACTTGGACTTGCAACATAGGACTCGTTAACAACTCTGCTCTGTTGACAAACATAAAATTGTGAAAACATTCGCTGACGTACGTCATGACGTCATACGTAACCGGTAGAAATTACGGGAACCACTGAGTATTTTAATAAAATATAAAACAACGATAACTTCGAAAATAAACATTTTAATATTGTAGCTTTCGACTAAAATTCAGTCATCGTCAGGAAATATATTTCATATTTTTTAAATTTAAAATCATTCCTGATGGTAAGTGGTAACCATATGAGTCATGAATTTTACTGATGGAATTTTATAGGAATTTTACTTGTAACTGTTGTGACGTTGTAACTGAAGATTTAAGGGCTTAAGTGATTTCGTGTGCTTGGAAAACGTGATTTACATCACGAAACAAGAGAAGGTTTCGATTTATTATTTAAGCCTGTTTTTGGCGAATTTGTTCGCGCGAACGCGAAAACCAAATTTCGGCAATGTGATTGGTTAGCGAAAAAATTCGCCGCGAAAAAGTTGGATCAGCAGGGCCGTGCCAACTGGGGGTGTGGGGGGCCAACATTTTCCGGAAAAATTTTTGCTTTCCGGAAAAAGTTTTTTGGGGGGCCCTGGAATGGAAGGGGGCCCAAATTTTGGAATACACCCCCCCACTACCCAACCAGAAAGGGGGCCCAAATTTTGGAATACACCCCCCCCCACTCCCCAACCAGAAACCGGTTGGCCAAAAAAAAAAAAAAATATATATATATATATTACTAGAATACATTGGTATTGAAGGAACTAGATTTCGTTCCGAAATATCACTTACTCGAACCGTCCTGACCGCGTAGCTCAGTTGGAAGAGCATTGGGCTAGTATTCCAAAGGTCGTAGGTTCGAATCCCACCGTGGCCGGGCATATTTTTCAAGCTTGCCCGGTGTGGATATATACTCAGAGTAACACCACAAATATCATATTCACCTGAGTACACTGCACCAACACAGAAAAAAAAAAAAAATCATATTACTAGAATACATTGGTATCGAAGGAACTAGATTTCGTTCCGAAATATCACTTACTCGAACCGTCCTGACCGCGTAGCTCAGTTGGAAGAGCATTGGGCT